CGGAAGTGGCACTGTGGCTCAAGTGGTAGAGCGCTAGCCTTGAGCTGAAGAGCTGAGGGACAGTGCCCAGGCCCAGAGTTCAGGCCCCACGACCGGACCAAAAAAAAAAACCAAAAAACAAAAAAACAGCCATCCTCTCACAAGGTTCAAATATACATGTGTTTCAGAACCACAATTTCATTAGGTAAAAGCATTTCTCCAACAACACAGTTCAAATTTCACATCTGATAATATGAGAGCAGCTGTCTCTTCAATCCACAAATCACTATGAACATAACAAGCACACATCATGGTCATTGACCAATCATGACACTTCTTGCAAAGACCACTGCTATTTGGCCACTTTAGTTTTTTAGTTGGAACACACTCAGCAAAGTCTTTTGTCTTGCATGTCCCAGACAAATAAACCCACATAACATTTTACAAAAATAAATAGGAGCCAGGCACCAGTGGCTCATGCCTGTAATCCTAGCTACTCAGGAGGCTGAGATCTGAGGACTGCAGTTCGAAGCCAACTCCGCAGGAAACTCCATGAGACTCTTATCTCCAATAGACTACTCAAACAAAGCCAAAAGTGGCACTGCGGCTCAAGTGGTAGAACACTGTCCTTAAGCTAAAGAAGCTCAGGGACAACACCCAAGCCCCGAGTTCAAGCTCCAGGACCACACCACCACCAACAACACAATTAGGTTATTAACCTATAAAGATGCACAATTAGGTTATTAACCTATAAAGATGCAGATGTAACGAAGACAAAGATATTGAATGCTGGACATGAAATGCATTTTGGCAGCAAATCTGAAAAATTATGGCTGCAAAGCAAGGGTAAGAGAAAGCCTGGTAAACAAACAAAAAAAGATGAAGTCACTTCAAGAGGAATGTAACTGAAGTAAATGGGACATGCAAGCTGACTAGGGGATTTGAAACTGCATCCTTTGAAAAGATAAACACCTGCATAAAACTTCATATCAAAAGAACTCTTTATGATACTACATGACACTAAGGGAATACAGGATACAATGTTGGAAGCTGATCTAAACATAGAAAGCAATATGACAATTTAATTTACCATAGCATTTAAAAGATACTTGTTCTATATCATAAGTTGTATAATGATACTAGTCAAACCACTCTGGAAAAAAATGCTTTATAGAAAAAAGGTCACTTTAATTTTCAATATTCCTAATGTTTTAAATTATAGTGTTTTGGGTCTGGCGGCATGGCTCAAGTGGTAGAGTACCAACCATGAAAGGAAAAAGTCGAGCTAGAGCACTCAGAACTGAGCTCAAGCCCTAGTATTAGCACTCTAAATAAATAACAGCATATTGATTAATTATTATTTTACTCTTATTTCACTATGCAATCATAAATCATAATAGGAGAGTTTTGTGCTTTGATAAAAAAAATTAAGGTAAAAAAATGTAAAGGTTCAAGAAAAATTGTTTCCATTCACTAGTAAGATCACTTTAACAGATTTCAATTTGTGGTCATTTTTATAATTGTACCAACTATGCCAAACAAAACCATATGTACTGCCAATGCCTAAATGCTTCCTCATAGTTTTCCATCAATACAAGCAGCAATCATTCAGAAGTTGTCACTTATAGTTATTAATCATCACCTATTACTAGTATCACAGCTATGTTACAAGTGCTCCTCTTCCAACCAAATCCGATCTACAGAAGGGTGTTACATACCTGGAAGTGGTAACTGAACCAATATACCACTGACTCTTGGGTCCATGTTCAACTGATCAGTTATATCCAAAAGTTCTTCCTGAGACACATCCTTAGGCTTTAGAATGAGTTCACTACAGATACCTGGAAGAAAAACAAGCAGACAGTTATTTGATTGTGGCTTTTCATTAGAGGTGTCCTACTGATGTCACTGATTTCCTAGATCCTTGTTTCATGGAAAGAAAAGGCCCTTCTGCAAACAAGATGTCTCATACACTTTGAGGAAGTATTTCTCAAACCATATAAGTAATTGTGTCTGTGTCTGTCCGTGTGTGCTGGTCCTGGGGCTAAAACTCAGGGCCTAGGTGCTGTCCCTGAGCTTTTTTGCTCAGGGGTAAGCACTCTACTACTTGAGTCACAGTTCCATCTATAGCTTTTTTGTTGTTTAGAGATAAGAGTCTCATGGACTTTCCTTCCCAGGCTAGCTTTGAATACGATCCTCAGATCTCAGCCTCTAGATTAGCTAGGATTACAGATGTGAGCCACCAACTGATACAGGTATTATTTTTTCTTTATATGCGCTGGTATTGCTTTATTGTCAACTTTCTAAAAGCCAGGCATAGCAGCACTTATCTCTAATCCCATCACTTCTGTCACTGCAACAAGGCTTGAAAGGTCCCGACCATTTGGCACCTTATAGTGAGAACCTTTCCACAAAGAAGGGGGAGAGAATAGCAAAAACAGCAAATGAACCTTCCAACAGTTTTGTTATATATTCTTTACACTTAGCCATTAAGATCACCATAATAGTATTTTTATTTCTTTTTTAACATTTATTATTATTATTATCTTTAAGTAGTTGTACAAAGAAGTTCCCATTCTACAAAACAGTATATGAGTACAAAGTGTCTGACAACTTTGTCAATCATCACTCCTAACCCATCCCTTCTCCCACTTGTTTTTAAAACTGAAGGAGATGATTACATAAATTTCACATTATTTCACAGTATTGTGGAGTAGTGATACTTAGTTCAAGTCAGAAGCACATTTTAACCTTCACAAGGCAAATTTATCTATAAAGTTTGTGAATTCTATGAGCTTTGACAATACAATCATTTCTTCCACATCAGGGGATGTTTACATTTCTTTCCTTCTGCTTAGTGTAGGCTGTTCCTTCTTTCCCTCTCATTCCTCCCTTCCCATCGCTGTCTTTGGGTTGCTTAGTTCTTTTTCTTCTATGTCCAGTGCAGCAGATGGGCCCCTTTGTTGTATGCTGTTCCGTTTCCCACTGATTCTGTTCCTCCTCCTGGTTTCCCTCCATTGCGTGCATACAGGTAATTTTTTATGATTCACATGTATTCTTTGGATAGTTCCCCAGGTAACAACTTGCACGGAAATATGATAACTTACTCTTTCTAGATCTGAGGAGAGTAGAAGTACTATTACCATAATGCTGTAAGGCTAAATGAGACAGAGTAAACTAGCAAAGTTTGTCATTTGATTAAAGCAAATATAATGAATACAAGCCCTTGAAATGCAAAATAGTTATCCTACATTTCTCCTAAGATATAAAGTTACAGGAACTAGTGTTATAAGAAATTTGAAGAAAAATAGAAATAAATTAACATATAGTAACTGAAAAATCTAATAATAATGACACATTATTGAATGGATACTTAATTTGTAATTGATGATTTGTAATTATGTAAAATTATGTAAAAACAGAATACATACTTAATAACAATTACAACTAAATGACATACCCACCTACAGCAGTAGCAGCTCTTATCTTATTTCTCACATATGTGTGGCTTGCTGGGTTGTCTCCCACCAAAATTATACTAAGGTGCGGCTGTCTGTTCCCAAGGGCGACCCACGATTCCACCCCTCGTTGTATTTCTTTCTGGATTTGTTTGGCCATTTCAGTTCCTGAGATGATAATGGCTTCATATCTGTGGACAACAAAACAATCAGTGCAGTGCTAAAAACACTATAAGGAATATTAAATATTAACTCAAACAAGGTTAACTTTTTGGTGAACTTTAAAAACAAATTATTTAAAGTTGCATCCAACTTTGTACAACAAATATACTATTGGACCTATAAAACACACATGGACACCTACACAATGATAGTGGGATACTTCAATACCCCACTCTCACCAACAGACAAATAATCCATACAAAAATTTAACAAAGAAAACTCATGTTTGAAAACTCATGGACCAAATGGATGTGATAGATACTTATAGACTATTTCATCTAGCAGCTGCACACTACACATTCTTCTGGTAGCCCATGGGTCTTTTTACAAAATGGATGGTGTTGTAGGACTAAAAGCAAGCCCCAGAAAGTATGAGACATCCCCTGGATTCTATCATACCATAGTGGAATTAAACTAGAGCTAAACAGAAAGAGAAATCACAGAAACCATTCAAATCCATAGAGACTCATCACTGTTCAATGATGAGTGGGTCACTAAAGAAATAAAAGGGAAAATGCACAAGTTCCTATATCCAATAACAATGAAAACAGAACATATTAGAATACTTAGGATACAGAAAAGGCAATAATAAGAGGAAAGTTTATAACTATGAGTGCCTATGTTTAAAAAAAAAATCTCAAATAACTACCCTAATGATATACCTTAAGCTCCACTGGTGGCTCACACCTGCAATCCTAGCTACTTAGGAGGCTGAGATCTGAGGATCACGATTCAAAGCCATCCCGGGCAGGAAAGTCCGTGACTCTTATCTCCAATAAACCACTAGAAAACCGGAAGTGAAAACCGGAAGTGAAGCTGTGGCTCAAGTGGTAGAGTGCTGGCTTTGAGCTGAAGAGCTGTGGGACAGCGCCCAGGCCCAGAGTTCAAGCCCCACAACCGACAAAAAAAAAAAAAAGTACTAGCCAAACTGAAAATTAGCAGAAATGGAAAGAAATAACAAAGATTAGGGTAACAGCCAGGTAAATCAATCTGGGAGAGAGTGAGGGAACAGAAGATAGTGTACAAAAGGAAATGCATTGATTACTGTGCATATGTAATTTCAACCCCTCAGTACATCACCTCTATGATAACAATAAAGTAAATTAATTTTAAAAAGAATCAATGAAACAAGATAAACTAAATCAAAAAACTCTTACACAATCTGACTAAAAGGATGAATGAAATGACTCACATAAGTAAGATTGGAGATGAAAATGGACTTAGCACAACAAATACAAGTAAAATCCAGGACATCATGACTACAGACTTTGGAAACATATACTCAAATTAGAAAACCTAAAAGAAATGATTTTATTTCTAGATAACCAAAACTGAACCCAGAGTACTTAAACTACCTAAATAGAGATACCGATAGGAAGTGAGATTAAAGCAGTAATAATCTACCACCAAAGAAAATCCAGGAACTGAAAGATTCACATGAACACACATACGATCATTCTGATGAATGGATGGCACAATGCATGTGCAAAATCCCATAGGGAAAGCCTTCTGAACAATAATTAATCTGTAGGTACCCTAACAAAAATGAATAAGATGAGGTTGAACCTTGTCTTATCTGGGATGGGAGCAATGAGAGCAAACAGGATGAAGACGTGTAAATATGGTCAAATATGTTCTGTGAGTGTCTGAGCATGGAACAATGAATCTGTGGAGATTAGCTTGGGAAGGAGAGCAGGGAGTGAGTTCGATCAGGTCCATTGCCGGCATGTATTCAAATGCTGAAATGAGAACCCCACATACAACTAATGGATACTAATAAGAAACATTCGATTTTTCTCCCATTTTATTGACACACCTGCAGACTCATATGTACATTTGCAAATCTGTAAGGATTCATGTTCTATTTGGTTCTGCCTTATAATCTAACTTCTAAAGACTAATGTCTTCCACCCCTCCTCATTGCCCAATGCCACAGGATTTGGAGATGGGGCTTTTGGTAACCCTGGGGAATAAGATTAGGGCCCTTAAAAGTCACTCCTGAGAACTCCACCCATTGGAAGACAAAGAAGATGACCATCCATGGATCAAGAAACGATCCTTCACCATATACTAAATCACCCACCATCTTGATCTTTGGAATTTTGCCCCAAGAGCTGTGCTACCTACATTTTGCGGTCAACAGGCCATCAAGTCTACTGTATACTGTTACAGCAGTCCAAATGGACTAAAATACTGTGCAGCAGAAGCCCCCAATTTTCATTCATATTATATGTGCGTATATTGAATCAAATCAAATCTTCAAGATCTTCACTATAATACTGGCTATATTTCAAGTGTTGCTGCTTCTTCTGAAGAGCAAAATCAGCATAGCCTAGTTAAACTTGACATTCAACTTCAGAGCTGTATTTTCTATTCTATATTTGTAACCCCACAATCCTGTGAACTCAGTTAAATCAGTTCACACTTGATTAGCATTTCCTACAGTAGATCCCGCAATCCAGAGCTCCATAAAACTCTTAACTTTACTCAAGGAATCATTTTATTCCTCAGCCCCAGACCAACTCGCTGACAAAAGTTATGAGTCTTGACAGGTTTGCTATTATGTGAGGCACCTGCTCAGAAAGCAGATGGTTGGTTGTTCTGTACCATGGAATCATGTCTTATAGAAAACTCTTTATAGAACATTATTCCTTGGCAATTTATAAGTACTTAAGGTAGGGATTGTTACATTTTAACAGATGACAATAAATTATCTGTAGAAAATCAAGGAACAAAGTAAAGTGTTGTAAGATTGCTTTGTTCTTTATGATGTCAGATTTAAGTGGTGATTTAGGTTCTTGCTATGTGTTTATTGTTTAAATATACATTTCTTTGGTGTAAAACAGGATGTTTTTTATATATGTACATATTCTAAACTAGATAAATGGGTAAAGACTTGGAAAAAGTAACTTTGTTCCTTCCCTGCTATCTGCTTCTATTGAAAATCCTATTGTATAAAACTCAATTCCACAAGACACCAAAAGTAAGCCAATAAGACACTGAAGAAGGAAGTGGAGAAAGGGAAGGAAGTACAAGGGAAAAATGAGGCAAGGAGGCCCTTAAGAATGAATTCTTTCTACTGTGTACTTTTAACTTTATAATCACAATGGGCATGATGAACATCAGCCAATACACAAAATGCAAATTTGCTTCCAAATAAGTTAACTGCCCTCTCTGAAAGGATTGTGTGCATGAGATGGATCCATATCAAGAGTATTCCAGTTCAGCCTGGCATTGTCCATAGCATTTAGCGAGGCCCAAATGATGTGTTGTCAGGAAGGGATTCCCAAGTGTCATCTATGAATACATATATGTATATTGGCTGGGGAATTGGCTAAAATTGTGCTACAAGCACATCTATGATTCAGAAACACTAGGAGTTAAAACAATTTCCACAGGGAATTCTTGTGCACTGAGCATGCTTGAAAAACACTTGCTTAGCAAAACAACAGTATATTTGAACAATTATTGGTAAAAAAAAAAACTGAGCAAATAAATGAGTAGAAAATATAATTATAACTAGATATGTCAATCCTAACTTGGCTGTCATTATCCCTATTCACTTAAAAATCAATAGATTCGACAGGGGAGGATATGGAACTTTCAGCGTATCAGTCCTACTCTACTATTCTATTTTTCTAATAAATTTAGTAAGTATATTTGACATATAACAAAATTCGCATATTTAAAATATAGTTTTAATATATGTATATTCTTGTGAGACCACCACCACAATCAAGAAAATGTAACATATCCCTCATCCATTTTAATTTTGATGTTTTATTTTTCATTTTAATTTTATTAAAATGGAATCACATTATATACACCTTTGTCCAGCTATTTTCATTCAGCATAATTAAGATTCACTCATGTTGTTGAATGTATCAGTTATTCATCTCTTTTATATTGCAAAGTACTATTTCATTGGATGGATTAATCAGTACTTGTTTGTTCATTTACTTATTATCACTCTTGGAGTTCTTTCAGGTCTTAGTCTTGAAAAGGTTTTTACAAACATTCATGTATCGTTTATTGAAGGTACATATGCTTCATTTCTCTTGAGCAAATCTCAAGATGTTAAATGGCAGAGTCATTTGGAAGACACATTTAAATTTATGAAAAACTATCAAATTGTTTTTTTTTGGGGGGGGGGTCCGGTCGTGGGGCCTGAACTCTGGGCCTGGGCGCTGTCCCTCAGCTCTTCAGCTCAAGGCTAGCATTCTACCGCTTGAGCCACAGTGCCACTTCCAGCTTTTTTCTTTTTGTTTATGTGGTGCTGAGGAATCAAACCCAGGGCCTCTGGCATGCAAAGCAAGTGCTCTACCACTGAGCCACCTTCCCAGCCCCTCAAATTGTTTTTTAAAGTATTTGTATCTTTTTTACATTCCTACACTCAGTATATGAAAGACTTCTAGTAGGCTGGGCACCAGTGGCTCATTGCCTGTAATTCTAGTTACTTAGGAAGCTGAGATATGAGGATCAAGGTTCGAAGCCAGTCTGGGCGGAAAAGTCCCCATGAGACTCTTCTCTCTAATTGACCATCAACAAAAGAGAAGTGGAACTGTGTCTCAAAAGAGGAACAGCACAAGCCTTGAGCAAAAGAGCTTAGAGACAGTGCCCAGGCCCTGAGTTCAAGCCCATGACTGACAGAAAAATAAAAGAAGAAAGAGTTCTTTCTAGTTACTCCATAAACTTGCTATTAGTCAGCAAGATCAGCTCTCTAGTCTCAGACATCCTATGGTATATAAGTGTGGCTTGTGCTTTTAATGTTTTCCCTTAGTAAATATTAACACTGAGCACCTTTTCATGTGCTTATTGGCCATATTCTTTGGTGAGTTGCTTAATCTTTTGCCCTTAATAGCTCACTTCTTTCTTTTTGGGTTTTTCCCCCCTATTGTACTAAGTAATAATATATTTAGTAACAAATAGTATTTCAGTACTAACTATATAATAAACTTAATTCTTATTT